TAATGCCCATGGCATAGCAGCTCAACGCACATCCCTCAGGGACTCCACAAGTGCTCCTATGTGGTGGGCCAATTTCTCCTCGAATCTGGAATCGACGCTCCATTTTGGTCAAGAAGCTGTCCCATGCCTGCAGAATCTCTTGAGGGGCTCCTGTGTGTTGTGCCAGGCGCATCACAGGAAGTCTGGGTATATTCTCGAAGGCCTTCTGAATGTCAGTGACCAATCCCTGAAGGGCTGATCCTGCAGAGACACACAGCTCCACCAAGCCTTGTATCATGAATGATATCTGCAGAGCCTCCTTTCCTGGCAAGAACCCCAGCTGCGTGTCGGTAGCCAGGGTCGCTAGGTGTGCCAGCAGTGGACGTGCTCTCGCCGTCGACCAACTCCTATAGATGGTGGAGAAGATGATGATCGGGCGAAAATGTGCTGCCTCAGCCGCTGTGACTGTTTTCGCCAGGCACGCCACGAATCCTGTCAACAACTGATCCGGCCACTCTATTCTTTGCTCTTCTATAGCTGTGAGTAACTCCAGCAAGGCAGACTGAAAGCTCTGAGGAGCCAGTTGAAGATCTCTCCCATGAAAGCCGTCAGGGCCTCTGGCGGCCTTGTCATTGTACCTGGTGTTGACGTCATGCCATCCATGGACATCTAGGTGCTTGTACTCCAGGCGACTTTTGGGCATGAAAGCACGACCAAATGCCAAAATGCGATTCCAGTCACTTTCACTGACCGAAGAATGTTTTTGCCAGCGGGCTGTCCAGAAACTGCCAAGGACCTCCAAAATTGTCGGCACTTGCGAACAAACACTCTGGCACACAATTGATTGGCCTGCCATCAACAAACAGTCTGAATCTTTCACTGTGTATACATCAGCCTCCTTTCTCTCAAGCTGGATGGTCGTCATGGAGTCCACCAGCCAAAATTGACTATCACAAGGGCCCTCGCCGATCGCATGCTCCAAATGGATTTCGCTTCCATCCTCTGCCACTGCCAGAATCTCTGTCTCCTCTGTTTGCAGCAGAGTATCAAGATATTCTTTTTCATGCAAGCGAACCTTTTTGAAAACAAGCTCACGCTGTGCGGTCAATTGGGCTCTCGAAATTTCTTGCTGTCGACGAAGCTGCCAGCTTTCCAACTTGCGAAAGTTACTGGTGAAGTCAACAAGCAACTGCTGTGCAACCATCAGAGAGGGTACACCAGTGGGCAATTCACCAGGAAGCCCTTGATGTTGCACTGGGCGAGTGCGCCACCAGTTCACAAAACCACCCTGGAAGCCTGCAGCTCTCACGATGGCTGCCCAGGTCTCCACACGATGAGCTTGTGCTGAAGCTGTCATCGTGCCTCGTTGCAGGCTTTGCACCAATGCTTGCAACCGGCGTGCCTGCCGGTACCAGAGTTGAACACCTCTGCAGGCAAAGTCTGACACCAGGCGAAGATCACCTTCACGTGCAGGTCTGCACATAGGCAACTGAGACTGCTGCTGGATTGGCTTCTTCATCCTCCCCCGACCTCTGGCACCCGGCGGCAATCCTCCTCCCGGGAAGGTCAACATATCCAGCCAAGCTTTGTTCATAGGCATTCGCCCATTGCTGAAACCATTGGTTGCCTGTTCTTTTGGCAGAGGACAAAATGAATGGTTTTGCACAATGTCGCTGCCATTCATCAACCTGCACTTTGCTCCAGTCAATGGTTTGAGGCTGAGGCCAGATCCACCGCGGCACTGACTCCTGTCCTAGTCGAAAGGCTCCCCAAACAACTGAGTGATCAGGAAACAGATTCTCCACTGAAGCTGAGACAAAGAGTGCAGCTAGTTCCGGGCTCACAAAAACCATGTCCCTTCTGGTCTTACCTTTGCAGGTAGGTTGTATCGGCTCATTGTGCCGAGCCAAATGAAGCTCCTGAACTTCTGCCCAACCCATTGATCTCCAGAGTGCTATAGCTTCCAGGCTCTCATCTGGGTGATTAAAATCTCCCATGATAAATCGACACCCACTACGTCGCATCACCAGGTGATCAGTCAGATGAAGCAGCATTTTGTTGGTATGGGATTTGGCCTGAGGCCAAGTAGGCCCAGGACTCCACCCATAGATCATGGCACCAGTTATGCCCTGGCTTCCTTGTCTGTGGCCTCCCAGCCAATGTTGACTAAGCATGACGCGTCCTGCTTCATACTGGCCCCCAGGCCAAGGGATGTGAACTTTTCTGGAAGGCAGGTCACTTACCTGCATGACACCCGTTCCAGCGATTTCCGACCTAGCACGAAGAGGAACAGGTGCTCCCGGCAACAATCTCCATCCCCTGCCTCCACAGCGTCCGGTGGCCCGAAGACTAGCTAAGGCAGGTTGCATGCCAGCCTGACTCGCGTTTCCGCAATGCCCCAAATTCCATATGGCAAGTCACCATAGACATGCTCCTTGCCACGAAGTCCTGTGGGGTTTGTGGTCCCCACATAAAACAACTCATCAGCTGAAGGATGAGGTCCCGGATTGAGTGCTTCTCCTTGTCGAAAGCACTGTAACGGCCACCACCACAAAGGACGAGCACTCCATCGGATCCCCGACCCAATATCATGGTATGAGACGGCAGTCCCATCCACGCTGTCGAACTGGATGCGGGCAAAGGACCCTCCAGAGCCTCTTTCCTTGTGAGGATTGGCATCATCTTCAAATGAAACCACCTGGTCATCAGGTGTGCTAATCGGAACAGCACTGAATTGCGGGCTCTCACTGACGAAGCCCTCCACTGCCAAAGGCGCCCCCAACACCAAGCAGCAGAATACCCAAGCCAAAAGTTTGGTGCCAACCATTGTTCGACCAAGCAGCCCTCGCTGACACCTCACGAGAGCCCTTGGGTGAGCTAGTCACTCACCTCTGCCATTAGGACTCTCACTCACTTTCCTCTGCCGCTTGTCCTGCGAGAAGTTCGCAAACATAGCTTCAATGTGAGAGAATCCCTTTCGCATGTCCTCCGCCAGGCAGACAAAGGAGCTCTGAGCATCCGACCCCTGCTTGTGCACCGCTTGGTCCAGTGCTACCATTTGCTCCTTCTGGTTGCGCAAGCCCTCAGACAAGTGGTCCACCCTGCCATTGAGTTCTGCTTGAACTTGGGCCTGGTGTTCGAACCACTGATCGTATCGGCTGTTCTGAGCTTTGATCTCCCCAATGGAGGTTTCAAGTCTGCAGAGCCGAACATCAGCATCCCATGTAGACTGCATAGCAGCATCTTCAGCACACGCGGCCTGTTTTTCAAGCTCTTTGCGAATCACATCCTTCATATCAGATCTGAGCTTTTTCTCCACTTCCTCCAACTTCTGCTTGGCTGTTTCAGTGACCTCAGATCCCTGCGTCCTGGGCTGAGTTGGTTTGAACGATTGCCAAGGGTCACTTTGAAGCCAGGGATCACTAGATGCTCCAGCTCCACTACTCTTGGCCTCTGCCGGCTTGGCCCGTTGTTGCAACTTCATATGCTCCTTGGTTCGAAAGGAGCTGAGGACACTGGGAGCCTCTTTGACGTTCAGCATGGACTTGACCTTAGTGACCACAACATCACCATGCGCTCCCTGAAGAACGGAACTAGGTGGAGCGGTGCCGCTGCCGACATGCCAACCAGCACCCTCTGGTCCTCCCCGGACCGGCTGGAGTGGTTTTGCCGCCCAGCCCCAGGATTTCAAGCATTTGACCAACCCTGCACGAGTTGTTCCATGCGGCAAAGGATGCATCAGGTAGATGTCCTGGACCTGCACCTTCATATAGGTCTCATTTGGCCTCAATTCTGCAAAGGCTTTTGCCATATCGGATTCACGGAACCTGAGCCCCCATCGATGCCCGAGTCGAACCAAGGCCACTGCACCATCCACTGTCTTCTTCTTATGATCCGCCTCCTTGAAGCCCATCTGGTTGAGCCAGACAACTCCAAATCCTGATGCCGGACCCTTGCCATCTGACTGTCTCGGCTCAATGTACAGGCCATGCTGTCCTGATAGATTTTGCAACTGGTCTGCAACCTGCTTGACAACTCTAGCCAACACAGAGAACTGTCCAGCATCTTCAGGCTTGACCCTGCCACCACCATCAGTCCGTGACCACCTCCTCTCCCATACATCTGTAAGCAGGCTTTCATATTCTTGATCCACCAGACAGTGATGCTTTGGACATTGGCCTCCACAAGCTGCTCCACGACAGACAGTCAATCCTGGGACGGCTTGAAACAACTGCTTCAAAGGGCCTTGGCACATAGAGTCCCAATTTCCACCAGCTGCTTCAAACTCATCTCGAAACACGATCAACCGCATAGTCTCTGTAGGCAAGGCTTCCAAGCTAGGGGGATTCCTTTCCAGCTGACGTGTGATGTTCTCATCTCCTAACTGAATCAGGGAACCTTGCACCAAAACAGGCTCCTGCGTCCCTTGATACAGGACTGGAAATCTGAGGTTCTGCACCGGCAGCAAGCCCACCTGCTCATGCGGGCCCCGCTGGCCTGCAGTCATGTCCTTGGTGGAAGCCATCTTCGCTTCGGCCCAGAGCTTCCATCGCCGGTATTCCTTGGGATCCAGCGATTCTCCTGAGAACCTTCGGGTGTTCCCAAATTGAGCACTCTCGTTGGCCATGGCTGCTAAACAAAACCTAAAAAGGAAAAACAGGGACACTGCTTCGCGTCACAACCTACCTAGGTTACGCTTAAGGAACCCCCGGATGCCCCGCCCTGTGGCGGGGCTCCGCTACCAATTAGAAAACCCAGGGCTGGGAAGCCCGTGACCTTCCTAGGTCAAACGCTCGGCCGCTCGGACCTTTTCCGACCTCGGACCGAGTTGCCTGCAGGATCTGACGCGTGAACGAATGCTCGACAGGGGACACTGCAAATTCATATATATATATATATGTGTATTATTCTGTTAGGTTATCGAGCTTTGGCTTTTCCCACAGTGAGCCACTGGGATCTGAACCACTGAATTGTTTGGGGCCGGGCTCCCTGGGGCTTTAAGACCACAAGAGCTGAGTGGCCAAATTGTATCATTGCATCGATCATCTTCTTCTTCCACCCCAGTTTCCACTCTCCTTGTTCACGATGCAAGTTGTAGCCTTGAAGGAGTCGAATCGGCAGCTACTACATGTTTTTGGCTAAGCAAAATACTGTGGAATGAACTCAAACCTCGGTTGTATTCCTCAAAGCGTCTGACCGCCCCAAAGGGCTTGTTGACCAAATCTATTCTGGTTTCTTTGTATGGCCTTTTCCTATCACAGGGTCACAGTGTTCTAGGATGATGTTTATCCATTTGGATCTATCAATCATTTGGCACCCGTATAGTCCTTCAGACCCTGACATGTCTCTAGTCCCTAGCAGTTGTTTCCTTTCCTCGAACAGTTCATCTATGCTACCCGATTGGGGCAACTTAATTCTTGCCAAACGGTGCCTTAAAGACTCAAAAAAAACTGACAAGGTGGTGCAACACTTCTTCCCCATTAACAACCCAAGCTTGGCGATATGTAATAAGAATACAGTATATGTATATATACATAATATAGTTATAATAAAAGTGTATATATATATAGTTATATATATATATCAATGTATATATATCAATATAATGGGCCATTGGGTACGTATCATGAAGTGACACCAAGTTGCATAGATCTGTCAGTCCAGTATAAATGTATAAAGCCCTGATGTGATGCCCACCCTTCCTCCCAAATGTCTTGCTCCGAAAGACAGGTCTGAAGAGCACTTGCGTCCACCCCGACGTCCAACATCTCCAGCAAATGATGTGACCCAAAATCCACCAAGGGATTCACAAAGCCTGCGGAACAAAAAAAACAAAGACAGGTCTGCTGCAGCCCCGCGTCTTTCCAATCGAAACCGCTCAGAACTTGGCAGCGGCTTTTTGATGAACAATGGCCCTGAAGTTGTTTTACTGAGTTGGAAACCAGGAGTTCGGTTCATTTCTGTTTGCAAGACTAGTTCCACAAGTTTCTACTTGCTGACTGACTTGGGGTCAAAAAAGCAGCACCTCGTCCAATGAAGGCTTTGTCTCAAAACGAGGAATCGTAAAGACATATAAAGACCATTAAAGACCCCAAACCAGTCACTGCGAATCATTTCCGTGTCGCCTAAAAGCTTGGGGTGCTTTCTGGATTCGATCTATTACCACGCGGGAACCACTCCACACTAGCCAGAAGATATATATATCCATGACAAGAAAGACTGAAGGACCTGCAGATTTGCACCGAGGTTGAACCAACCGGCACTTCACCGCCAAACACCTGTTTCACCATACCTGCGCACCTTCGGGCGCCCCTTCGGCATAGAGCACGTCTTGGGCTCTGCATGCCGTGGAGTCGAATCCTCCCCGAAGCAGACCCCTTCGGCCGGAGCCTCCGGACACCCTGACCCTGAGTCGGAACAACGGTTTGGGCAGTGTAAAGCACTCTGCGCTGGAAACCTAATTCTAATAGCAATGGCCTCCAACCTAATAGCAATGGTTGACATGCAAGGAACGCTGCAAAAAGAGTGTGTCCCAAAGACAAATAAACTGTGCAGGGATGCACCAAATCTGTTTAACCGATTTGCTTTTACGCAAAACAAGCTCTGGGATCCCCTCGGTGAAACGGTGTTTCGGGTTCGTCTAGCTTCCTGCGAGGTGTCTGCCGCTGAGATCTTATTGGTTCTGCAACTGGAAGCTGGACATCCGAACTTCCAATTCATCATCTTACTTCAGCGAGTAGAAGGACCCTCAGAAAGCGTGTGCTTTCTCAAGTACTGTAAGTCATGCTGTTGATTCACATGAACAAACGCCAGCCCGACTTGAGATAGAAAGTTCAGTATACAAAGTGTTAATACCTGATCCTCTAGGGTCAACATCAAAACAAGTCCATTGATGAGCATGTGTTGCATGATGGTTGTACAAACACCAACTGGAAAGCCCTCACAATGCATGAGCAGGACTAAGTGGAGAGGTGTAACTCTTGGTTATCACCTGTAGCATGAGGTGCCCTCTTGCTATCGGAGTGGTGTGTTTGCCTGTGTGCGCCTTATGAATGATGCTCAGTTGAGCTGGAATGAATGAATCCAATTTGCACAATCATCTACGAATTTCTATCGTGTCAAATCCTTGATTCGGCTGCCCGTGCAGTATCAGATTTCTAGCCTGTTGGGCTCCCCAATTTCAACGACACATTGTCGCAGCGGTTCTGCGTCCAATACATCTCCTGTCTGTGCGTTGAAGCGCACCGTAAAGGCCACATCAAAGGCCGCGAAGAACAGAAGCTTCATGACCTCGACGTTCGCAGCTTCCCACGAGGACTATCTTTGGCTTCATGCTTCTGATGGACAAGACTTGGACGATTGGATGTCAGAGGCTCATCAACCGAAGTCCAAGATTCTCCAACAGCCACCAGGACGGGCTTCCCTCAAACAACTATCCACATACCATGAGTTTGAAGGCCTCACATTTTCGGTCCTTCCTCAATTCCTCAGCAAATGAAAACCCACAAAATGCAAGGTTGCAAGGAACAACATATGGTGCACCTTCCTGCACCATCGCATGGGTGTCCAATGGAAATTCCAAGTGCAGGGTAGTCCATCCAGGACACCCGGACAGGATGGTCCGCTCTGTGTGTTTCCACTTTGAAGATTTCAGATCTTCGTTGGGCGCAAAAGGACCTCATGAGGACTGAATGATTGCGCACCTTCTGCGCAGCTTCCCCGCCTGACACGTTGATCCTCTCATTACAAACTCACACGTGGAAACTTGGCAGAATCAGAAGCTACAGGTGATGGCAGCTACAAACAAACAAAAAGTTGTGAAGTTGAAAGTCCTTGCTTGCTGGGAAGGCACCTTTTCTTGGTCCTGGGCCTCTTCCATCCCTCTAGTGATATCAACCTATCGTCTTGAAGGCCAGCTGCGTCAGTGTCGACAATATAACTCATCAATAATTTGCTCGGCAATGACCGAGAAAACGTGGCGAATGGCTCTTGCAACAGCCCTCGGACCGTTTCCAGAAGGTTTTTTCGTTTCCCCGTTCTGCCCAGGCACGGGTCGTGAAAGGGGATTTGCAAACTGCGCACCGCCGTCGGGGCAGCTCAAGCCCAACAGCTCCCAGTGACGAGGGTTCGGTGTTTTGATGCTTCGTCGATGACCCGGTCGGACCCGTTCGGTGCCTACCTATCCACCCCGTGTGTAATGATGACCCCTCGTGTTTGACAACGCCGGTGTTGAGGCCAACACAAAAGCATTAAAGAGACCACTTGTATTCTATAAGACATGAAAGCTGGCTGTGCACTGCTTGTCTGACCATGACGGTCACACCAAAAAATTGTGCGAGGTAACCATAGGTTTAGTGATCATAACGACAGGGTCAGCCATTAATTAACAGAATCATACACGATTATGAGAATCAGATCCACGGAGGCCAAGAAAAGCAATGGTCGCCTCAAATCTGACCTCCCAGTCATCCTCCACTGATTTGTTGCTATCACTTCGATGACCGACCTACCTGCGAAGCTGCTAAACAACACAGTCTGCTCCCGTCCGAACCTGACGCCAGGGCTCTACCATGGATCTCAGGAAAGGCTCGAGGTCTGAAGCCTGCTGAACGCTCGGTCAGAAGAATGGCGCGCTTAGCGCGCTTCGTTCAGAAGCGTGGAACGAGAGCTTCGTTGGGGAGATTGGTACGATGAACTGGGTGAACTTGATGCTTCTCCGAAATCATGGATTGTCGGAGAAAGGTGCAGAAATTGGACAGCCCAGGAATGCCCAGGAAATCTTATACAGAAGTCTTGTCTCTGACATGTCGCTGTCAGACTTTCACTTTTCTCATCACATCTACTGGCTTGTGATTTGTCGACCGCCTCAGTGAAAACTCAGAATCTCATCTCCTGCCCAAAAGAGTGAAAGAGCCATAGCAGAATGATCCGAACCTGGTTGTCAACATAACTGACCTATATTATAGTTTGGCGTGCGTGCTGCTTTTAAGCGTTCAAACTCACACTCTGCCTTGGGGTGTTTGGTCGCGATGCAGGGATGCACATACATAGACATAGATGCTTTCAGGGCAGGTCTTGACTTGATCCAGCAACAAAGAAGGCGTGCTGTGCGCTGCGTGCGTGAAGTAACATGAAAGCCCAAAGCACCAGTAAAACATTAAGTAACAAATAGCTATGAGGGCTCCTTCTCCGTCTTTGGTTAGTCCACCCACCCTGCCAAATCCTAATGCGTGCGAAAAGAAAGTGGAGATCTTTTCGAACAAAAAAAGGGCCGCTCGGTCTCGGGGGTCGGCAGTCTCAGTCTCGGTGCCTCGAAGACTTTGAGGATCTGAGGTCTCAAGGGGTCTTTCTGCAGAAAGCCTTCGGAGTCCACCTCCTTGAGATGGGGCCAATACCGATGAGACGTGCAGTCGCGATGGGACGAAGGGATGTGGGATGATGTGGGAGAATTGGTTTTCCGACCTGAACATTGGGCATGATCAAGGATCGAACACCAGATCAAGCTGGGAGATGGTCTTTGAGGCATCGGGTTTCCTCTAAATCCCGTCCCGTCCTCAACAACATCCTCCACAGCCTCGTTGCTGTCCTGGATCAGACCGGTGCATGGGCTGCGGTCAGACCCATACCCCATCAATCTCCATCATACCCCCTGTAGCCACCTTCCATCAATGACTCTGGGCTAAAAGCTCCTAGGTCGAACCGGATGTCAAACCGGTCGACCTAGGGGGTCCAGGTTTCTCCCCAAAAATGATCAACCTATCATAATCAAATCTACTTACCAGCACTACCCAAGGTATTTGGATGGAAAATACATAGTCAGGGGGGTCTAGAAACCACTCTGTCTGGATATATATATATATATAGTTTCAATCTGCACCAAGGCTTCAGACCTCCGATGGCACGGAATCTGCCTCTGGCACCTCGCGCACCTGGAGAGATGAAAACACCAGAGGCAGTTGGTAGAATTAAGACCTGTCAGTGGCATGGTCAAAAAGGCACATCAAACCCTGCAGTTCAACCAATACGTGAAATTTGTCTGGTTCCCATGGAGAAAGGTACCTGTATCAGTACTTGATGTCATGGAGGACGTTCTGCAAGGACCCATTCCTTCAAATACTGTACTCAACCGAATCTTCTGAATCGAAAAAGGGGTTCCTCTAAGTTGAACCATCGACAGTCGACCGGCTCAGTTCTTGGTGCTGCTTTGACGCGATTTGGTCAAATTGGACCACGTGATATGGGTCAAATGTCCTGTACAACCAGTGAGACAAAAATTTGTTCCTCTAAGAACATGTTTTCCTGTTCTTCATTTATGATTTTGCAGATACAAGCAAATGTTGCTGAGACGCCGGATGTTGCTGCCTATCTGCAAAGGCTCGGTGTTGCATCTTGTTGCTCCAAAAATACCCTAGCTGCTAGCCCGCAACATAGACCTGGAAGCAAAACATATTGGTCTTCAGAATGAAATGTCCCACAGTTCCACATCGTACTTTTCTCAGAATGAGCGCAGGCCATAATGTCGACAGAATAAATACAGTAACTGTATACATTTTGCACGTTTACATATATATATATATATGTTTACATGCATTCAAAAAGGGACTCAGATTCTCTTTCAAGCTCAAACAATTGTGGCTGGTCACTATGTCATGGTCTTATAGTCCAGTAATGTCCAGTACCTCCTAGGGGAAGCCAGAAACTGATAATCGAACAATTTGAAAGAACCCCCCATGGCCCAAAGCCTTTTCCGTGTTGTCAGCGGACAAGAGCTTCATCACCTCTTGGTCACCAGTCTGAGCTGCGAAATGCCAAGCAGTTTGCCCGGATCGATGGACCTGATCTTTATCGGCACCAGCCTGAAGCAACAGCCGGACCACTTCCACATCACCATCCTGAACTGCAATATGCAAAGCGGTGAACCCATCCTCTTCACTGACCTTGTCTTTGTCAACACCTGCCTCAATCAGCAGCTGAAGAACTTCAAGATGACCATTGGCAGCTGCCCAATGCAGGGGTGTCGCCCCATCGTCTGCAACCCGGTCTTTGTCTGTTCCAGCCTGCAGCAGCAAGCGGGAAACCTTTAAATGGCCTTTCTGAGCAGCGAAATGTAAAGCAGTGAAGCCAAAGGCGTCCTCCTGGTCTGTGTTTGCGCGGGCTTCCAGCAGCAAACTAATGCATTGCCAATGGCCTGCCCATGCTGCAGTCAGTAGTGGTGACCAACCCTCTTCATCTGTCACATCAGGACTGAGAGGAAGCTGTAAGAGTGTTTCAACTTCGCCGCAGCGATTCTTCGCACACGCGGAAAGGAACTTCTCATCTTGTCCTTCCTCAGGAAGCACAAAGTCCAGAATGACCAACTGCACGCAAGGAGACGGAGACGCAAGGACCGCGAGGAAGGAATCATCATCCAACTCCTTGTTTTCGTGGAACCATCTCTGTTGGAATCTTGGGATTCCAATCTGCTTGGCCAACTGCCTCTTGAGGAGTTTCACCGGATTGCCCTCAACCTCTTCGGAGTTGAACCAGCTGATTGCTTCCCCTGACATGGCCGAGCACACGCACAGCGCGGTCATGGAAGAAGCCCATCTAGTGGCATGAAAAGAAGATGAAATGGTGAAATCCAAGGCACCCAGTCTTGGTGAAATCAAATGACACTTTTGGTGCTTTGTCATCCAGATGTCTTCAGGGTGTTGACACAGACTCCGATGATGGGAGGGAATAATACACATTGAGATTCAATGTATCATAATTAATGTAATTGAATTGAATTCTTGTTTCTAATAGCTTCTTGTTACTAGTAGTAAGGCCAGGAGCCCCTAGTAGCTTCTTGCTCCTAGTAGCGATGCGGGCTCTTAGTAGCGTCCTTGCTCCTGTACCATAAAGATGTGGGAAATATCTTGATACAACGCCACTCCTCTCGTGACTTCTCTGACCGAGAAGAGCAGGACAGAAACCCATTTGGGCCTGACGGCGAAAGAAGTATGGCTGGTGGTGCACAGAATTGCGAGGGCATTTCAAGGCTTTAAGGAGTTTTCAAGAGAAAGCTTGCGCTTTTGGTTCATCCTGGAAATACTCCACTTCATGTCAGTGTGGGGCACGAACGCTAGCTCCAAAACCATGAACGCCCCACCTATCATGGTATTGAGCTAGCGTATTGAGCCCCCCGACTTCATGCCAGATCTTTTGATATGGCCGACGGCGCCCGACGACATGTTGGCACCTCTTGGATGCCGTTCCTCAATGCCCCCGCGCTCTTCAGCCGCTGAGGGACCGGAGGAGGCGGTGATTCCTCGAAGAGAAGGAGCTGGTGCAGCTGACCAAGGAATTCCGTCAAACACTTTGGGGCCGCTAGTGGGAGGGAAAATTCGATTCAACTCTGATAAAAGAGGGGGATCTATTTGGACAAATCGTCTTTCCAACTTTTTGGATGAGTGAACCGTGATGGGTTTTCACACAGGCACGTTAAACATGTTACACCTTTGGAGGTGGCCTAAGACTTACATATGTTTAGGACCTACCAACCTACCCCGTCAACTAAAACATGCTAAAACTGGTGTCCACAAAGCAAAAACCGCATCCAAATGGACTAAAACTATCCCGAACTGGAAATCTTTAAATCAAACTTGTTGACTATAGCTGACTAGCTGGTTTGTTTGGTGCTTTTTTGCCTATATATCTGGATTCCTCCTGCTCTGCTCCTCTTGGTTCCACGCCTCCTCAGCATGCACCGGTGCAGAGGCGCTGCGCACAGAGCTGCCCTGCAAAGCATCTTCGAGTTGGGAACCCCAAATCATCGAATGGATGATTTCGTGGATCTTTTCAACCAAAGAGGTAACTGTTTTACTGGTGAATGTTCCAATCACAAAGTGATTTAAACATGTCGGGTCTTCCCAACTAGTGGATTTGCTGGTATTGCAGTATACTGCTGGCAGGCAGGCGACACAAACACGGTTCTGCTATATATATATATATATAGATGTTCTTTCACGAGGAGAACACACCTAGCTTAAACTCATCAGCAAGGTTACGGTAACGGTTACGATCAAACTGCGCAGTTCTGCACAAGTGGAAACCTTACATAGCTTGCCCCCGCGCCTGCGGATCAGTAGGTCCTGGCCAGCGAAAACGCCAAATGTTCAGCCGCCCTTGTAGCTACCCCTCCTCAATTCACTTTCTTCATGTGCTTGTGCATGTAGCCGTCTGGAGTCTATACCTCTTTGAGAACTCCAACCACCACATTTTAAAATGCAAAAATGGGACTTGCCCATCTTGTGCTGACTTGTCGATGGCAAGGGACCAGAAATGTCTGACGGAGCTGTCCAAGCTTCCGCGAGATTTCGCATATGGAACAGGACCTCCCCATCATTATTGGCATCAAACTGATGAAACCATTGAAGTGCAGGGACCTCTAACTGGCGCGATTTGGGTGCCAGGGAAAGACCTGGAAACACCTGAAGCCTTGAAATGCTTGTTCAGCACTTGAGTCTTGAACTGCTTCTAGTGGTCATGAGGTCGAACCAGATTGGTGAGAATGGGCATGAAGATTGGGACCCCGGCGTGCACAAATCCCATCAACTCAGCAGCTTTCGGAGAGGATTCAGAGCTTTTGGTCAAGTCGTTTTTCTGGAAACAAACTTCAGTGAACAGCCCGAAGATACATGCGCAGCCGTCTGAACGCACCACCACCGAACCCTTCAGCTATATGCCAAAAATGAACATAATTAACTGTCCACTGTCCACTAGGTATGTCCGCATATGTCCACCGTGTCCACCAATCACAGTTTCCACTTCGTTTTGACCACCCCTGTCCGCACTGGATCTGGCTCTGGCCTTCCAGTTCTGCGAAGGAGAGCATCTTGAAGGGCGCTGTGGAGATCTTCCGAAGGAAGTTATAGACCTCATGGCGGTTTTCATGACAAGTGGGCTCTCATTTTATCGTCCATTGATATCCATTGATCTAAGGCTAGAACAAGTGGGCAATTGCTGCTTGCTGCCTGCTGAAGTCTGATCTGTTGTTTCTGCTGTCAAGGATATGTTCCAGATCCACTTTTCAGTTTGTGGTGTTGCCACCGTCCCACTTCACCGTCCCACCGTCCCGGATGAAACAGGAAGACATCAATCCTTTAACAAGTAGTGATGCTTCCCGGCCATGAATAGTTGCAGCATGAATCATCAAATTGTCCTTCTCTCAGCATGAATCATGTGCATTTCTCGTTTAAGTTAAAGGGCTCGAAGGTGCTACTGTATGCAACATGTGGCTCTCCCAAAGAGGATGAGAAACTCTGACACCCATATGGCCCACATGGATCAAAACACATTTCTCTACTTACTTCTGATGCTTTGGGGAAATATCGTCCTTGCCCACTGATACTTAGACTTATGTAGACTCATAGCCATCCTGTTGTCAAACTCCAAATATGACAAAAAGACATGAGTTCAATTGCTCATACTCATCCTCGTTAGGGTCAATACCCGAACCCGGGTTCACAGGCTCTTCAAGCACCTTCATCAACACCTTCAGTTGCACCTTCACAGCAAAGAACCGTCTATATATACACTATCATTATACAACTCAGAGTTAACCAGCATATGTAGATCCCCAAACCACGGCTTTTGAATGCTTTTGAGAACATAGGTTGTATGTTCACCAGCCAGCCATGACTTTCGTACAATCGGTGATGTGATTTTGCGATTTTGCCAAGGCCTACTCAATCCGATGTCATGTCTGTAGCTTTCGCCACTACCAGTGGGTCCAGTTGCGAGATTCAACTTTTGAGACCAATGACTACCAAACGGAGTTCGTTACGTTGAGTTCCCCACTTTAGGTACGTAGTACAAGTGATAAAGGATCATTCAATTATTCATAGTTATTCTTTGTTGATCCACTCCTCACCTTGCCTTTCCAGTCTTTCAACAGCTACGAGCAGCTAGGACTCCCTGGCCACGCCAGTGGGTGGATCCACCACAAGGCTTGGGCAAAGTAACAACTTCCTCGTCTGGGCGTCCATCCTTGGTGTGAACCAAAGCTACTAGAAACAAGTGCATCGCTACTAGTAACAAGTGCCTTACTAGTAGTAACAAGAAGCTACTAGGAGCAAAGGGCATCGCTACTAGGAACAAGGTTCGCTACTAGTAGTAACAAGACACGCAACACCGGGAATGCGGTGGCCAAAGATTCTTTCTGGGATGACCCATTCCTGACAAGGTTAACGATGGCCATTCTGTGCAATCGGTCAATCAAAAACAAGGAAAGGTACGTCTTCATGTCTAGCAGGAAATTGGATGAATTGCTCCTTCTTCACTACCTTTGGCAGGAAGAAGCTATCCTTGAACCACTCAATGATGGTGTTCCTTATTTGTAGATGTTGTTTCAAACCTGGATGGTGCTGCATACTTGTGTGGAATGCACAGGTATGCAGACGTGACTAGAACCAGCTGCTGGAAGCTACATCAGTTTTCCAGGCTCCTCACGGTGGCAAGGCTTTCTCCAGCACGCCATACACCGCAAATTGCACCTTCCCCAGCTACATCACATCGACAAGTGAAATCAGAAAAGGAGTAGGACAGCTGATATTGTAGAGAATGAACGAAAAGTATATAGGATGGTCTAACAATTCTATCAAGCTATGCTGCTGCTGCTGCTGTTGATGGAGGAAATCCGGTACACTGTCCGTGCCAAAGGACATGCAACGATGTTCACAATGGTTATTGTTGGAGGATGTTGTTCCTGAGCAGGATCCTTTGATGTCCTTTCCCACCAAGCATCTCGGGCCAAAACACACCCAAGTAATCATAAGGCTCTGGTCTTCCCCTACAACACCCATCAACACCCTCATGTCCCGGCCACCGATTCTTGATTCCGCCATTTGGGACCTTTCATGTATCCCCAACGCTCCAACTCCACCGATCTTCAGACCCCCGGCCGTCAGGTAGACCAACAAGTGAACATGCTTCGTTGACCTCAATGCGACTTCCGATTCCTTCATCTTCCCTGCCGCTTCAGGGCGAGCTTACCCTCCGAACAATTACGGGAAACTGAGCTTGTCGAAATGAAATTGCAGAGGACACTCAAGGAATGGGTGCACAGGAACACGTCTCAGGGAAAAAAAGAAAAGCGTACGCAGCGACCCAGCATCCTTGAATGTGATCCCTGTGAGGCCATACCAATCTGGGAATCGGCAGTGTTTGCGTCATGTCTTTGCAGGAGGTGAGTGCTTCATCATGCCTTTTGATTCAACTCCACGGAATCCATGTTGTTTTGATAACGCAAACTTCACAAGCAACATCAAACAACTAAGCTACAGCTTCATCTGCAACACTAGAGTAGACTACATCATCAAATACAGCCAGACTTATATAATCATATTCTGATCAATGATTGTGAGGGATCAGGGATTGGAAAAAGGAGCACCACAAAAACGAGACTTGTGAAACCTCTCCAAACGGTTTGTATTGTCATCTCCGCTTTCGAGAAGTGTGATACAAGACACAACAGTCTGTAGGACATTACATAATCATGCCACACACACATAGATATTGACACTAACAGCAAACAAATCCTAAAGGCTAAGAAGTCTGCAAACAAACACAAACATCAAGCTCAGGGCAACTATGAAAGATGGTCTCATCACAGGTCTTGCCACAACAACGGCGGAAGAGTACTTTTCATCCTCGCGGATTGTCACCACACCA